CCCAGTGTCCCCGCAGAAGTGGCCCCAAATGCCTGCCAGGCAGACCCGGCTTTCCCCGTGCCCACTGCCTACTCCTGCAGCCCCCCTGAGCAGGACGGACGGACTCCCCTGGGGGCCCTGCGTCCCTCCCTGCTGCAGAGGCTGCTGGCATTCCCTTGCTTCCCCAGCCAGGGTGGGGGCCCCGCTACTGTCTGAGCACCGGGGCTGAGGCTGGACCCCGTCTGAGGAGGAGGGGCTGGAAGCCCGGATACCAGTCCTGTCTGAGGAGTGGGTGCTGGGCCTGGACCCCCACATCTGAGAGAGGCTGGGGCAGGGTCTGGCCCCCTGAGTCCCTGTAGATGGAGGAGGCTGGCATTTCCAGATCCCTGTCACGGCTCCTGGGCTGGCCCCAGGCCCAGGCCCCCATCCCCTCGGGCCAGGCCATCCCCCAGGCTGGTGGCCTGAGTCACCTTGGCTGGCCCCACGGCCCGGGGGGCTACGTCAGCGCTCCCCTCACTGACGCAGCCTCGGGGGCCCCCCACGCTGACTCAGCCGGAAACAGGCCCCCTAGGGGCGGGGACCCAGTGGCCAGAAGCCTGGGGCCCCGCAGAGTTGTGGCTGGGGAGGGCCCCTGGGGGCCCTGGAAGGGGTGGGAGTGACAGACCACACCACAGAGAGAGAGCTCTTACCTGAGGCGATGAGGTCACGTCCCACGCGGGGGCTGTGACCTCACCTCCGTGGGGGTCTGAGCTGTGCCCCTCCCCCGCGGCGGCTGGAGGGGGACCTGCAGTCGCAGAACCCCTGCCAGCTCAGCAGTGTCACAGGCGACCCTCAGACATCCTCGTCACCCTTTGTCCCTTCCATTCTCCTCCCACCCCTCTGCCATCTAGACTAGGTGGGGGCCTCGGGGACGTGCTGGGAGCCCACCCACTCTGTGAGCCCCAGGCCCCCTGGGCCCCCACACGTGTGGTGCTCACCCTGGGTACCACACGGGCGCCACTGCTCTGAGTGCGTCCCTCTTCTCTCACCTGCGGTGGCATCCCGATGTCCATGCCCGGCTCTAGCTTAGCGTCCTGTGTGTCACCACTCCGCTCAGTCTCCCTGGCATGCTGAGTGTAACAGAACGGCAGTGGTGGGGCTGGCAGGTGGCATGGGGGTTAAGGTGCTGGACTCCTGCATGACTGACTGCGGTTCGAGTCCCAGACCTGGCAGCTTGCTCTCTCACTTTCCCTCTCTGTCTCTCTGGTCAAATTAAAATAATAATAAATAAAATAAAATAAATAATTATCTTTAAGAAAAGAAAGAAAGGAACAGTGGTAAAGCATATGGAGTGCGGAGTACTCTGGCCACCGAGGCCCTCCGGGGACGCCAGGGACCGCACTCTCCCCATTTCACAGGTGACCACCCAGGACCTTCCTGTCTCTCCCAGCTCTTTAGAAGGGCTTTCCAGGCTAGCAGGTGGCATGGAGGTGAAGGTGCTAACCCCCACAAAATCAGCTGCCCAGTTCGAGTCCCGGACCCGGCAGCTTGAAACTCACACCAGGCATGTGTGCATGTGTGCCCTAAATCCCAGAGGAGAGTGGAGGAGAAGGGACTGTGGTGTGGCCAACCCCCCTGAGGGGACCTCTCACTTTCCCTCTCTGGCAAGCACACGTGCCCTATGGCAAGAATTCACCAAATGATTGTTTTTAAAAAGGAGAAAGCTGGTCTCTGAGGGCTAAGCCCACCTCTCCATGGCCTCTTGGAGCTCCCCCCACCCGCCCTCTGCATCTGTCCTGTGCCTGCCCCCTCTAAGTTCCACTTCTCTGTCTCTGTCTCTTCCTGCTGGGCGTCCCTCGGCCTCCACAGGCCCCCACCGGCTCCATCCAGTTTTGTTCTCTGATGCCCAGGACCTCTCCCTCCCTTTTATCCCTGGGGCTGACTCTCTGGTCTTCTCGCTTCTCCAAGATATCTCTCCGCTGCCTCTATCTCTGTGTGCGTGTCTCTGTCTCTCTGTGTCTGAGTCTCCATCTCTTTGAATCTCTCGTCTCTCTGTTTTTTGCTATAGGGTGCATGTGTTCACCAGACTCAGAAGACAGAAGTGAGAAGTCACCTCCCAGGAGGATGGCCATGCCACAATCCCTTCTCCTCCATTTTCGTGGGCTTTGGGCACACACGCACGCACACACACACGCGCTTGGACACACACATGACCAGTGTGATTTTCAAGCCACCAGGTCCAGGACTCTAACTGTGGTGAGCCATGTGAGAGTCCAGCACCTTAACCACCATGCCAGCTGCTGGACCCCACTTTCTCTTTTTGGGGGAGGAGAGGTTTATTTATTTGGTTCTTGCTAGAGGGCACAGGTAGGAATGGCCATGCTTCCTCCATCCTCCACCCTCCTCTCCTCCAGATGTCGGGCATGCACACATATGCACCTGGCATGTTTTTCAAGCCACCAGGTCCAGGATTCGCACTCCAAGCACAACGCTGTGGGGTCCAGCCACTTCAACCACCTTGCCATGGCTGGCCTGCAAGACTCCCTCAGAGTTTATTCTGTCCCCCAGCCCAGTCTCCACGACATAACCCACCCGGGCTCAGCATGCGCCTGGTGAGTGTGATCCTGCCCTGCCCCAATGGCTCTGGGTGTGTCACCACTGTGCCACCACCTGGGCCTTGGCTGCTGGTTTCAGTCTCCGTGTCCCCATCTCTCCACATCTCTGTCTCAGCATCTCTCTGTGGTGCCCTCTGTCCCTTGGGCTCGCTCCCTCTCCTCCCTGTCCCCAGGCCATCTGCTGCGCCCCTGCCTCCATTAGCCCTCTCTGCCGCCCTGGTCCAGCCAGACCCCCACCCCCAGCGGGGCCTCAGCTCCCGCGGTGGGGTGCGGTGGGGGTGGAGGAGGCCACGCCAATGACCTCACCGCCCCTCTCCGACCACCCCCCTTTCCCTTTCAACTTTTCCAACTTTTCCAACTTTTCCTTCCTTCCCTCCTCCGAGCAGGCGGGAGCCCTGCGCCGGTCTGAATGGAAAAGCAGCCGGCAGTGTGAGTCAGGATGTGTCAGGCCGCCCCCCCGCCCCCCGCGCCGCCCGGCCCCT